TTTATTCTTGGTGTGTGACCCCTTCACATGGACGCTTCTCAAAGTGTATACTCACTCCCCATTACCTCAGTCTCAAGTGTGTATATATGTGTATATATCTATATATATATATATATATATATATATATATAATATGTTCGAATATATATATATATATATATATATCATAATATATCTGACAATATCTATAATATTATATATATATATATATATAATATATATATATAATATATATATATATATATATTATATATATATATATATATTACATATATATATATATATATATATATAGATATATATACATATATACACACTTGAGACTGAGGTAAGGGGAGTGAGTATACACTTTGAGAAAGCGTCCATGTGAGGGGTCACACACAATGCAGGAGGCCTTACTGATGCAGCGTTTGTGAAAGATGTCCTGTAGCACAGGGAGAGATGTTCCGATGATCTTGGCAGCTGCTTTGATGATCCGATGTAGCTGGCTGAGGTCACCGACTTTGCAGTTTCCAAACCACACGGAGATGCAGCTGGTCAGAACGCCCTCTATGATGCCCCTGTAGAATATGGTGAGGATGGGAGGAGGGAGGTTCTCCCGCTTCAGGCATTTCAGGAAGTGGAGGCGCTGCTGGGCCTTTTTGGTGATGAAAGTGGTGTTAGTGGTCCAGGTGAGGTCGTCTGAGGTATGAACTCCCACCAACTTGGTGCAGTTAACAGTTAACAATGGAACCATGGATGCTGAGCGGTGTGTGGGTGGAGCGAGTTTTCCTGAAGTCAACGATCATCTCCTTGGTTTTGTCCACATTCAGTGACAGGTTGTTCTCGCTGCACCAGAACGCCAGCTGCTGAACCTCATCTCTGTACGGTGACTCGACGTTGCTGTTGATGAGTCCAACCACGGTTGCGTCGTCAGCGAACTTGATGATGTGGTTAGAGCTGTGTAGGGTGGTGCAGTCGTGTGTCAGGAGGGTGAACAACAGAGGGCTGAGAACACAGCTCTGAGGAGCTCCTGTGCTCAGCCTGATGGTGCTGGAGATGTTGTTGCCAATTCGGAAGGACTGAGGCCTCTCTGACAGGAAATCTAATATCCAGTTGAAGAGAGAGGTGCTCAGTCCCAACTTGCTGAGTTTGTTAAACAGTTTTTGGGGGATAAAGGTGTTGAATGCTGAGCTGAAGTCTATGAACAGCATTCTGACAGGGAGAGGTGAAGTGCAGTGGAAATAGCATCTTCGGTCGATCTGTTTGGCCGATATGCAAACTGCAGCAGGTCCAGTGAGCAGGGGAGGTTGCTCTTCATGTCTTCCATGACAAGTCTCTCAAAGCACTTCATGATGATGGGGGTCAGTGCGATGGGACAGTAGTCATGCAGGCAGGATACTGAGGATTTCCTTGGCACTGGGATGATGGCAGTGGACTTGAAGCACACTGGGACGATCATCTGGCTCAGTGATGAGTTGAAAATGTCTGTGAAGACATCACCCAGCTGATCAGCGCACTCTCTCAGCACACGACCTGGGATGTTTTCTGGTCCAGCAGCTTTTTGTGGGTTGACCTTGGTGAGAGATCTCCTCACATCAGCTGCAGGCAAAGAGATGGTCTGGTCGGTGGTGGGGGGCGTGGCTTTCTTTGCTTGTGTGTTGTTCAGGGCATCAAACCACGCGTAGAATTTGTTCAGCTCCTCAGGGAGTGTGACATCTCCATCACAGCTGCTTGGTACAGGCTTGTATTGTGTGACAACCTGAATGCCCTGCCATAAACTGTGAGAGTCCTTTATGGTGTGGCAGTGGCTTTGGATCTTTTGTGCATGTGCACGCTTTGCTCGTCGGATGGCGCGAGAGAGGTTGGCTCTGGCTGTTCTGAGAGCTGTTTTATCTCCAGACCGGAAGGCAGCATCTCGCTCTCTCAGACATGCACGTACAGTTGCACTGAACCAGGGCTTCTCATTGGCTCTCGTGGTGATGTTTCTGGAGACAGTTACATCTTCTGTGCACTTACTGATGTAACAGGTCACAGATTCGGTGAACTCGTCCAGGTCCAAGAAACCATTTTGGGTGGCTGCCTCTTTAAACATATAACACTCTAACAGATGCATTGGGGGAAACTTAGGATTCAGTATCTTGCCCCAGAATACTGCAGCACATGGAGTGGGGGAGTCATGGATTGATCCACACACTTCCTGACTCATAGATGAACCACTACCACCTGAGCCACAGTCACAAATAGGGCTGCTTGAATTACTTGAACCCTGATGGGCCTGACACAGGTGAAGATCCAAGTCCAGGCATTTAACCCCTTAGCAGTCGGACGTACCGCCCACGGGACATTGGATGGTTTAGGGGACTAATTGGACTGCTAAGGGGTTAATGTAGGTTATGAAAAGTAATCTAAACTAAAGTAAAGAGCTAAAAACATTTGAAAATACCATCACGGATCAGCCTTTTTAAGGGTGTAGAGACAAAGATATTGACAGAGCAGTCATAGCTCGACTATAACTGCATTGTCACATGGTACAGCAGAGAGGCTGTCTTGATCAAAACTTCCTAAAGAAAAAAAATGAGACATTCTTGAGAGAAACACTTTTAGAGATTTTTACTGAATCCCTGCTAATCAGAGACAAACTTGTCAAAGTCACCTTTCTGCTCTCAAACCTAGAACGTGGCTTTGGTGGCCTACAGACTGTGGTAACTGCAGTTATTTTGAGAACATGAAAGCTGACACTTTAAATATGTTTGGCAATAAAATAGATCATATCACCAGTGTCATAAACTGCAACATGACTGGAAGTTACTGCAGCTACAGTAACTGGGATGCTGCTCTGCCTGTTGTAGTAAAGAGCGAGTTGATGATTTACAGCTCGATCTGGTCATTCAGAAACGGCTCAGAGTAGAGACGTTAATCCTCCACATTGGAAAGGATTCATTTAAGGTGACTCATAATCTGACCAGGATGTCTCCTGGGCACCTCCTACAGTAGGCGAGAGGTTTGGGACTGGAGGCAGATCCAGGACACAGTGGAGGTTTTATATCTCTGGACTGGCTTGTTGTGTATTTATTTCAATTGCTTTACTAACAGTGTTGTATATTATTATTATGTTGATTATAAAGTTGATTTAAATTTCCTCTGTTGACACATTCTTCTGTTACAAAAGTGCTTTTAACAGACCATAACAGCATGCACATAGTGTTGCACACCTATGGTGAGTGAAGCTGCTCTGTTGTATCTTTGTATCTCTGCACTGGGATGGAAGAGTAAGCCAATATGTGTTGGTATATTTTTAATGTATTTCAACAAATCATTTCTTTTTTTCAAACCTAGCATAGGTGCCTGGACTTGGATGTTTTATGTCATTTTATGTATAATCATTGTTAGATTTCTCTTATTGCCCTTATTTCAACTCCTGTTATTTCCTTTTAATATAACACTGTTCTTGCTAAATTTGCAGCTTTTGTACCTGCAGTAATCTAAATGTTCTTCATTGAACAGGAAGTGATCCAGATGCAGTCTACTCAACAGTGAGAATATATGAAGATGTCAGTGAAGGACAAATAGCCAACAGACCAAGAGGTACGAGAGGTACGAGAGGTACAGCCAGTGTAAAAGTGGACCTATTCTACTTTTCTTATTCCCTGGCATATATATCCTTTTTCACTGTTGGATGTTCATATTAAGTGTGTTTAAAGCTTCAAATAAAGAAGTCAACGTAGGCACCAGGATGGACTGAGGATCCCAATGGACCAGTGTAATTTAAAGATAAAAATGTTGTGCTGAAATCATATTAGGTCCACTTCAAACAATTTGACATGACCTATTTATTTTAACAAAACATGTTTAAAATTAGTTATTCTGACAGGAGTCAGTTCCACGTCTTAATGTTTGAATTTGTGCTGAATTTAGGAAAACCAACCAAATAAAAAAAAACATATAACTTTGTAACAAATCTCCTGGCTCACCAAAGTCTGGATGTCAATTTATTTTTTAAAGCAAAACAGAAAAAATCATTTCTATAAAAAAAAGCTGTTTATGCAAAAGAGGGCAGCTGTACAGTTTTCACAGTTTCTGATTCTGAATGCATTACATCTCCAATCTGTTAAGAAGTGCAGCTTCTGCCACTCATTGGAGCACAGGTGCTACCCTTGAATTGTAAGTTTTAAACTATGAAAATGGAAAATGGCCTGATGGGAAGCTTTTTTTTAAATGTTTCTCTCCTGTTTATGTCAGGGGGGCAGATAAGACGCCTGTGTTTCCTTTTGTTTTCATTTGATGTAAGTTAGATCATTATATGTGAGAATGTTTTCATTTGCAGTTTCTGTCATGCTCACCCTGAAGTTGTGTTATGGACTGCTGATTCTTTGGAACATGGGAATCGTGTTAAGCTCAGGTTTCTCCAAAGCTGGGATGTCTCCAGCAATATGCCCCTTTGGGGTCCAGGCTAGGGCTGTGTGGGCCAATGTGGGTGTCACACTACTGTAGGCTACCTACACTAATCAAAGAGGGGGGCCAACAATGAGGTCCACTGTGGGCCCGCAATGTACCCACAGTATGCCCACACTCTAGGTGTGGGCATTCTACTTAGACTGATCTTCATTGAGGACCTGAACCCAGATAAGTGGTAGAAAATGGATGGATTTGAGATTTTGATTAAACTACAAAGATTGTAATCGTGTTTCCTGTTCTTTGGACTGTGTGTTTGTTTTCAGGCTTTAAACTAGTGCCAAACGTCATCTACTCTGGGCTGCAGTAGTCCACCAGTCCAACCACAGCCGCAATCCAGCTGCTGGCCTCTAACAGACCCTGCCAACACCTCAAACCAGAGGACATCAACATGTTCAAAAGTATATTTTATGTCTATACCTGTCTAATTACAATTACAGTGAACCTAACCAAAACCTACATATTACTTAAAGGCACAAACACACACACACACACACACACACACACACACACACACACACACACACACACACACACACACTTATTTAAGACTAATACAAACATGCAGTTAATCACTGTTATTTGTGTTTTTTTCACGTTTGTCAGATCCTGCTCTTCTTTCCAGAGGTTTAGAGATCATGTTCAGTAAAATATTTTTTCACTAGTTTTTCTCATGTGGTTCTGTGTAGGTTTCACCAAAGGTTCAGATAAAAAAAAAATTGGAGTTGTTCCATTTTGGTTAACCGATACACTTCATTCTTCAGAGCAAAAAATAAAGAATAAACCACAACCACAGACTAAGAACAGCATGGGCACTCTTGAGTGGCTGCAAACTGTGCAGAAAGCCTCAGTGCATCACATATGTGTTTGAGACTGAATAGATCTCATCTTTATGTAGAAAAAAATATATAAGTAAACCGACCAAAGAAAACATTTTGAGTCTTTTTTTTTCTTGATTTTCATGATTTGTATGATTGAAAAACTCTGGAGAGAAAGAAAAAACCCAACTCCAACAAGTTATTTTGAACTTTAGTGAATAATTAATGACATGAGTTGTGCTAAATTAAATGATGATCATCATTTTACAGTTAACCTCATTTTTACAAAACATCATAGTATTTGTATCAGTCTTTCTCATGGAAACTTTCTAGTGTCACACTTGATAGTTTAAGATGAAAACAAAGAGCTTTCAATTCAATTTTAACAACAACAGTTGCCTCAAGGCGCTTTAAATTGTAAGATAGACCCTACAATAATACATACAGACAAAAACCCAACAATCAAATGACCCAATGAACAAACACTTTGGCAACAGTGGGAAGGAAAAACTCCCTTTTAACAGGAAGAAACCTCTAGCAGAACCAGGTTTAAGGAGGGGCGGGGCCATCTGCTGTGACCGGCTGGGATGAGAGAAGGAAGACAGGATAAAGACATGCTGTGGAAGAGAGACAGAGATTAATAACAGATATGATTCAGTGCAGAGAGGTCTGTTAACATAAGCGTTCAGTCATAAACTGAAAACTCATGAATATGTGTGATTGACGCTGGGCATTTTCTGACTCCCATCTCCAGAACCAGCACAGAGTCCCTCCTAAAGCTCTGGCTCTGTAAAGCCAGAGTTGGACATGAGCCACATTTACATTTTGCTGCCATCTGCTGGTGAAACTGGTAGCACAGTAGCTGCTTTATAAATGGCAACAGTTTAACCTCCTTAACATTTCCACTGCTGTCAGTATAAAATGTGGTGAATACCTGGTCCTCTTTAGAATCCCTGTTCTTCCATTTATCCAATCACAGCCAGTTTTACTCACTAAAAAATGAAGCTCAGGGAGAAAATGCAAACTCCACACAGAAAGGCCAGATGGTAGATTTAAAGTCAGGCCATACGTCCTGTGAGGCAACAGTGCTAAGCACCGCACCACCAGCTGGCCTAGTAAGATAAGTACATTCTTTACCTTAGCACCAAAGTCATTGTGGTTTTGAAACCTATGTATGAACTGTATCTCTTTGACGTTGAAGGGGCGTCATTAAATTTAAACCCTGATGGTATAAAACATCTGCTTATGCTTTGTTAGTCGGAGATCAGTGCAGTCTGCGTACGGCGCTGGTCCCCCCACGCGTGTATTTCATTAAAATCAATTGTTTGACCAAGCTCTTCTGGACCATGGTTGTTTTTACTCTCCTCCTCAATATTGAACCCTTAACACATGTTAAAAGCAGCGTCAGGCTGTAAGCAGGTGAGTCTCACGGAAAATGCTGTGAACACTTGTGTACATGGTATATTTTTGTCTTTTATTCGCCCCTCTAAGGTAGAGGGGGAATCAATTAGCAGTCTAGCATCCACAGTTAAAGATATCATGTTTAGATTTTGTGTGATGTAGATATGGAAAATTTTAATTCTGCTCCAATCATAGGGGTAAAGATAATAAAATAGGTCATTTTAGTATGCAACAGTCATAGGTCACAGGTCAGACATCAGCATAATGTAATGACATCATAAAACTGGATGTTTCAGTTTAATTATTGCTCTTCACGGGGAGTTGTGCTCTGAGTGCTCTTGTTATTATTTCACATGTACAGTTCAGATGCTTGGTGATTGGGTTTCATTAAACCCCAAAAAGACAAAGTTAATACAAACATTTTAAATGAGAGAAACAAGCTGTTTTAAGTGGGCCCATAAAAGAGGGGAAATGAACAAAATTCTACTTACAAATTCTTAACAAAATATCATAACTCAAAAAAATGACCGTCCCAAATGATAGGCAGCTCCACTTACACAGCCAAGCAGTGCTGTTTGGCTCACAAACACTGACCCCATTATGTGAACCTTTGAAAATCAACCGCAACAAAATAATTTTTTATTATTAGTCCTTTATTTATCCAGGTAAAAAATCATCGTGGGAAAAAAGTCATAAATGTGATAGAAAATCAACATTTTTAACTGCTGTGCAGTTGTGCAATCAACTGCACTGAGGTGCAGTTAAAAATGTTCTAAAATACACCAGAAGCACATAAACAGTACAGAGGTCAAGTTTAAGTTTTGGGTAGCACAACTGACACTGGTATCTGTCAGTGAAAGAGGTCACATCAGGTATCCAGATAGATGAATTCTGGACCCTGTTTTGGAGAAAGTCCTAAGTGGACATCAGATGAACTGAACTGTCCAGGCTTTCACTCTGGCTTGGGTCTAAGAACGGGTTTATGCTTCTATAGTAAATCTTTGCTGTAGGTATGTCACAGCTGTATACGCTTGAAATATAACTATACGTCCTACTGACGCAGTCCACTGATATTGTTATTGCCACATTACCTTCTTCTTTACTTCAGTTCAAATATCGTTGCCTCTGAAAAATAAACCAATAGAAAAATTATACACAACTTTTGACTCTAGATTTCTTATCAGTTTCCAGGAAGACTTTATTATGATCCATGATCATGTCCCATATTTGTTTACATCTATAGCTCCTTCCATTAGTGTGTGGTTTTGTGTGCACCCCTGTTTGCTGTTTGTTGTTAGATGAGAGCAATAGTCTTTGTAAATCATGAACTGCAAACACTCGACCACATTTTTGGGGTTGGTTTAAATGCAACAATCCAACATTCATATTGTTCTTGACCAAAGCAAATTTAAAAACCATTTTATCTGGTGATACTCCCATATGTAAGAAAACTGCAAGGTCACCACACCAGTGCTGTGAAAGTTAACAGTCTGGAGAATCTTCTTTCCTTAGTTCTCGTTTGCTCCACATGTTATTACTGTGATGTGATTTCAGAGTTCAACCTCACAACTAAAATGTGCAGTTTGCATTTTCTGCACTCACATGGACTCCAGTCCACCAGCACCACCTGTGGCAAACTGCCATAGCTTACAACCAGATTAACTTGTAACGCATCTGCACCTGGCTCTGTCACCAAATTTTAATACCCATGTTATGCACAATACATTTGTAACTTTCATTCTTGTTTCTTACAAATTAACTATTAAACAGATTTATTCAGTTATCTCACATCATTTGGAACATGATGTTTTAGAGAGTAATATTTTGCTTGTGTTATCACTGCTTTTGTTTTTGCTTAGGAAATAAATTCAATTATTTAAATGCCTCTGAAATGATGAGGTGGTGTATTTTATGTTTATTTGTGTAACTATAGTCACCTGGGCCACTGGAACACTTTGGGCAAATATAGATGATTAATCAGCACAGCTGGAGAGAATTGCTAGTTACACACTGGAAAGCTATGATTACAAGGCTTGATGCAGAGTTTTCTGTACGTTTTTGCTCTTGACAGGTTAAACCACAATAAATAGCATACACATGTGGTGTGGATGTAGTTATCTGCCTCTTAAAACTCCAGTGATTTTCTGCAGTTTGACATCTAATGTGATCTTGTGAATTTCGTGAGTCCAGGCAACTAACCACTCTCACTAGATTGTATCAGGTCATCTCAACAAGAAGACAATAAGTTGCTGATTTTCATGCAGATGCTACATGATTTAATTATGTTCACCATAGAAACATTAAATTATTTAGTTCAAATTACAAGTTTGAATCTTGTACATGTAACAATCACCCAGTTTCGTTTTTTTGAGTGTGTCTGTATAAACTAAGTTAATTTAACAAACACGGATACAGCAATCAGTGATTAGAGAACAACTAGAGACAAAGTATTGGATATAAGAATGACGTTTTTCAACTGTGGACTTGTTTGTTTGTTTTCTAATTTTGAGCTTGTGTGATCATAATGAAGGTC